GTTAAAAGTTACTTGTGGTGTTCCTCAGGGCTCTGTGTTGGGCCCTAAATTATTCATACTATGGAAACACTACATATATCATTTATTTAAACTGTTAAAATATGTATTGTTTGCTGATGATACCACTTTGTATTGCTCAGAAACAAATCTAGAACAGCTTCTGACTACAGTGGAAAAGGAGTTAAATATATTTAAAAACTGGTTTGATATAAAGAAGTTATCATTAAATGTAAAGAGAACAAAATCGATCGTTTTTGGCACTAGAAAAATGAAAAATATATCTAAAATCAGGGTTAATGGGATTGAAATTGAAAGAGTGTACAAAAATAAATTTATTGGAGTGATAATTGATGACAAGTCGAGTTGGAAGTCTCATATAAATCATGTGAAAACAAAAATGTCAAAAACCATTGCTATACTCTACAAAACAAAGTATGTCCTGAACAAGAAATCCTCACACACACTTTATTGTACTCTGTTGCTTCCATATATGACTTATTGTCTTGAGATATGGGGTAATGCATATAAAACAAATACTCATCCTATTTTCAAGTTACAAAAAAAGAGCTATAAGAATTATAAATCAATTTAACTATATAGAACCAACTAACATTATGTTTATTAATCTGAATACCCTGAAATTTTATGATTTAATTGAATTTAAAATAGCACAGATAATGTACAAAGCACAAAATAACTTGCTTTGCCGCAGTACTCAGAAGCTGTTTAAACTTAGAGAGAGTCAATATGACTTAAGGGGAACTGAATTCTTTAACAAAAACAGAATAAGGACAAATATAGAGCAGAGATGTGTTTCTGTTAGAGGAGTTAACCTGTGGAATAGTTATGACAGTGACTTAAAAAGGTGTAGTTCATTTTCCTGGTTTAAAAACATGTTTAAAAATAGAGTATTAGAAAAATATAAAAAATCAAGAATGAAAAGAGCAAAAATAAAAATACTGAAACTCTTGAAAGTTTTGCTATGTTGAAGTTACTTACTTAAGGTGGAAAGTTTTTTGTTTTGTTTTTTTGCTTTGTTTAATTTTCTGCATGCAGCTCCAGTACACAGGAGCTGGATGCATATAGATCTTTGTTAGAAGGGTTGGCGTAATAAGCAAATGCTTCAGCCAATACCTTTTGATTAGCCTGGTCTTTGTGGTAATTGTTTTTTTTTTGTTTAATATTTTGTTTTTCACCGAGATATTTGAATGCTAATTAATCAATAAAGTTAAAGTGAAACTCCATACACAGTTGATTCAAGGTTTATTGTGGTTCTGCCTAATCTTATTCCCTGATAAAATAAACCACCAACCTTGTAATATAATTTCCTCTTAAACAACCGTAAGGCGCGTTATCATTTGAAGTCAACAAATTAGTTGAAACGCTCAACTCATTGCACATTACTTAACTGCTACAATACAAATAACCATCACAATCACCTAATGCATGCAAGGCTTTTCAAAACACCACAGGCAGAGAGAAAAAGTACCGTTTAAATGTAACAGGAAACCAATCCAACTCCAGTCTGTAGTAGAGCTGCATGAAGTTACCTTTGAGCATCAGCATAACAATGTGCGTGTGCGCAACAGTCACATCGCTGGTCTCTATGTGTTCTCATTGGATGTAATGGGTACCCAACACACAGCAATCCACTGATCACAATTGTTCCCCATCTTGAAGCTCAACCAAAGGATCAAAGAAAAGAAAAGAAAAAATAACCAATTTCTACCAAAAAATGAACCCAGGAAAAGTAAGTCACACAGACCCTTTGAACGTGCGAGTAGTAAACATCAACCTCTGGATATGAGACTTGAATTATGTTGAGCTTGGTGAATGAGTATTGGCTCGCATGCCCCCAGAACTCACTAGCATGAGCAGACCTCCAGCCAGGCTTAAGGTACACACTCAGTTTTCACATTTTTACATCCACCTTTCCAATATCCTACTAACACTCTGTCCTGAGGACTTGACTAATAAATGAAAAAGTTCAAATGCAATCAAAACATTAACTGTAGCAGTCAGCAACCTTAAATAAAAATTGGGAAAATTAGGGTTTTCTACTCTTCACTTATGTAAACAAAGTTGGCAAGATTCAGAGCAGCAGCACAGGGTATAGTTGACTAACAGTAAAGCTTTTTACACTATGTCAAGTATCTTAAACTAGTTGTCCAACTAAGCCATTATCCCAAAATAAACTTTGAATATTCAAACAAACACAAGCTGGAAAAACTGTGCTGTCAGCTACAATCTGCAACAATCCAAGCTCTGAAAGGGATATGAGACAATCATTAATAATACAAGTTCAAAGGGACTGAGGACTTCTTCCAGGCTGAGTAACAATTAAGTTTGAAGTAAGCAACACCACATGAAAACATTCCTTTAATTAAATTGAATTAATTTTTTCCATTTGATATCAAATTTCAAATGAGTTGATGCCAACAAGGCAGGCAGGACCAGTGGATCAGACAGCTCTGCTTGAAGGAATCTGTGCTTGTTGCTACCGAATCTCAATTCATGGGAATAACCGGCCAACAAAACCTTCTAATATTAACATAGTCACATGATTTGAGCAACAGTCCTTTGCCTAACTTTTTTTCAATCGGTTTTTCTTTGGTGTAAAGTAGGGATGTGAATTGGCTAAATTCTGGCGATAAGATACGCATCACGATACAGGGGAGACGATACAAAATATTACCGTCCTGAATGTTGCGATACATTCAGTCAGACAATATTAATGTTTTGTTAAGACTGAATTAATTGTAGGAAAATTCAAACAACATTCTAAATGGATGTTTAAAATAAGGAATCTGAACCATAATAGAGGGATTTACATTTTAACGGTGAAAACAAAACCCATTGCACACTGCTGCTAACTAGCGGTCAGTGTTTGAATTGAACCAAAAAGAAAAGAAAATATAGAAATATTTGCATATAAATTCTTCCAAAAATTAGTTACACAGCTTTTGAATATTTATAAAATATTGCAGGAAAAAATCACGATATATTGCCATATCAATATTTTCTCACATCCCTAGTGTAAAGCTAACTATGCGTCTGTTGCTGCTGCCTCTTGGCCAGATCGTCATAACTGAGAAGGAGTTCTCAATCGACTCATCTGGTTAAATTAAATAAAAACGGTTGTGTCACATAACCCGAGTCCAGCATTCAGAAATAATCTCAGTATTTATGCACTCTCCAAGTCCTGTGTAACTGAAGTACCTGTTTGGTTATAATGAGCCCAGCAGCATAGGATCCACAACAGACCTTAATCAGTTTGAATTTGCTAGATTAAAATGTTTGAGAACCTTTGTTCCAGACTAATCAGCCATCCATAGCTAATCTAATCACACGAATGATCTCACTGCTGTTGGTGGCAAGTTGCAGAGAAATGAAAATAACTTTTTTCAATTTTTAAACTGTCAAATATTTTGATTTTGTATGATTAATCAAACCTAAGATAGTTGCCAATCACACTTGAAAACTGTGTGTGGCAGGTTTTCATTCACAGCTACACTCTGGACTCTGTCTGGACAATCTGAAGAACACTTGTGCAGCTTGGGGGCTCCACCAGCTGACATATGGGCAGCAGGGTGTGGTGTTGCAAGAGCGGTCATGCATCTGCTTTACATTTAATCATGTCCAACTGGACGAGACGCTGAGCATGCTCCAGCACAGATCCAGAAGCAATGCTCCTTGCACGAGAATTGCAGGCTAGAGAACTAGTCAACATGGTTAATCATTCCTTACAGATCAGGGAGGTTTGTGAGTGCAGTACACAACTCTGGCAAACGGCTGGCCAGCTTCAAGTCCAATAAAATAATCGGCTCAAGAGGAGAGGGGACCTTGTGACCCCCCTTACACCCAAGGCGAGGTGGGGGTGGGCTGCCTGCCTAAAACACAACTGCAGATTTAAAACAAAACTAACAAGTGATAAGACACAATCAGAGGGAAGGTTAAGGTTACCAACTAGTAGGGACAAAAAAAGAAACTTCATTTTTTTGGTGCATTAATAGTTCTTTTTCTGTAATTCATTAGTAAACAAACTCCTAGTCTTTGCAGGCGAGTTAATTACAGCACTGTTTCTTAATAGGTTGCAGGGTGAAATTACTGCTGGTCCCACAAGCAGCAGCCAGCTCTAGTGAAGTGTGAGGACAAAGCAGGACATGATGACAAGGTCCATGTCCCAGCACTGGCAGCCAGTCTTAAGGGTTGTGGGTTTTTGGTGCCTACCCAGGTGGAAGCATTTACGCCCAACCATTTGTCAATCCTTTTAAGCTGTTATTTATTTACACTACGTATCAAACAGCCTCCCCGCGTTACTGGGGTTTGTCAGCCATGGCGCTCTCTGCTGAATGTCCGCTAGCGAACACGGAGATAGATGGGTTATTACTGACGTGTGATGAACATTGACAACACTTATTCTGACAGTCAGATTATATGTAACAGTGTAGGAGCTTGCTAACTAGCTAGCTAATAAAAACTTGCAAATCAGTGCTGGCAGTTATCTCATGAGGACCCGTTTCTAACAATACCCTGCTGTGTTTACATAAAAACACTAATACTTAAATAAAATTCGGCTTGTTGTGTATGCACATTCATGTCAACTTTGATCCAAATCATTGCTCCTCGGATCCACAGCTGTGGGCGGTAGTTTGCTAGCAGCTAGCTGCATTAGTATAATATTTTTCCTTTAGTGAGACAAAACGATGTTGAATTTTACCCAGTTTAATAGGTTAGTCGCTACAGCAGCTTTAATAATACTATTGAATGCCTCATAATGAACCCTTTGTGTGTACTATAGGGTGAATCCGCTGATTTTTCAATGGAGTTTGGTACTGGTTCGCTTCACTCGCATCCGGGGAATTACCACAGAGTAACCACGCTGCCCACAACACAACCTGACTTCCAACATTCCTAACCCCGGTGTGTCAGCTCTGTTTGGCTCAGGAGAGGCCCCACAGCGCCGCGGCCTGCCCTGCTGCTCCGTACGGATCTCCTACCTCTGTGGGCTGGCTGATCTCGAACAGGTCGAGCCGGTTGGCGTTCCAGTGGTTGATGATGTCGGCCAGTTTCCTCCTCTCCTCTTCCCTGCTCCCCGACATTGTGGACAGTCTTTCTGAGCCTCGATGTGCGTTGGGTGGGTACCGTTTGATGAAACTTTCCGTAACGTTAGTCCACAGGAGAAGAAACCGCCGTCGCCGCTGAACTCAACCGTTCCGGTCTTCTGCTTGTTTTTTTTTTTCAGCCGGTGCTTAGCACGGTCTGTATCCCAGCTCATCGACCGACCTGCTGTCTCTGCTTCACGTTCGCACAGTGCACCTCTCCGCGCGCTCACGAGGAATCTCCGTGAACGCGCACTACTGTTAACCATTTAATGTCCAAAATGAATTTGATTCATTACGTCACTTTTCTCACACCAGGCACGTGCTGTAGTAAACCAGGATGACGCGCCTATGATAATTAAAGGTCATTCAACTATTCTATATATTTTTTTCAAACAACAACAAAATAACTTTGACATTGGTAGCAAAACAAACACTGAAATGTAAAAGGTCCAAAATAAGCAGATGAGCAATTATAAACAATAATAAGTTATTATAGTGTAAAAAGCAAATATGGATGTTGGCAAGTTAAAATGTAGAGAAGTAACCATGTGAAAGCTGATGGAGTTTCAAATATTACTCCCAAAAGATAAAAATAATTAAAATGAAAAGGTAAAAAAAAAATGATTCCAAACGTTTTAATGAACTCTGAATGCATCGGATGTGTCTTAAATGCTAGCATATTTTGTCTCTGATTATAAACAAAATAACCCATGTATGTTTATATTTATTCACATGTTGTTTTTTGAAGTAATTTTTTTAACTTAACCAGATGAGTCCATAACCACTGAAACATTGAGATGCAGCAGATGAGTGATTCGTGTTGTCATATCCAAGTTACGCTTTAGTTTGCAGGAGCTGAATGTCACACTGAGCTGCCAAACCTCTCAGCATGCATACAAGAGGAGGCAATTTAAATATTGGCTGCCTACGCAGGATACGACCTTCTACTTGCTGATTTTGGAACAATAATTAGTGGGAAAAGATGTAAAACATTTAAAGTTTAGCGCATCGGTGCACACAAAAAATTAAGATTTGCTTTAAAAAAGCAAATTTCCCTGCATGTAAGCGCACATACATTTATTATGAGTCATTGCCTTCAGTCCTAATAACTTCCCTCAATCCGGGACTTCCTTCCTGTTGATATTCTTTAAAATCCTTGTTTCTTTTGTGTGCGTGTTTGCTGAGGGGTGTGTGTTATTGTCAATGACAGAGCATTGCTTCCATGCAAATACCAGCTCTTTATTAACACACTGCTGTCAGTGAATCTAAAAGGTCACTAAATACCAGGCAGAACCCTGTGAAATGTCAGGAACATCTTGGCGATCACATCTACAGAAATAGCTTAGATACAGCAGAGCGGTTAGTCATGTGGACCTCCCACCTTCCTCCTCAGACAGGGCGTCAAACAGCGGCAGCTTCCTATAAATATATTAGTCACCGAGCCAGGATTTAAGAGTGCTGGTGTATAATAGATGAGTACAGTGATGAGGTCACGTGTGCGTAATATGAAGATAAGGTTTTATTGGAACAGCTGATCTAAAAGTACAAGCATGGTGGAAGAAACAGGAAAATAAATTTCACATTTATCTCGAGTTATCTCATGTCTCAGATGTTTGCAGCAATCATTTTCAAACAAGCTTGGAACAAAACTGTGTGAGACTTAGCGATAAGCATGCTTACGTTAGTACGCTGCTATTTTCAGTGCAAAAATGTTTGATTTAATCCCAGGGCCATGGTGTTAGGGATTTTACAGAATCATAATTATACAGAAGCACATTAGAGCAACAGTTTTGGGAAGTTGGGACCTTTGTTAAACAGCAGCAGCTCGGTTAAAGGCGCTACAAAGAGTTTCTAGCTTAAACCACTGTTGACTGATAACCAGTGCTGAGCTCCTGTGCTGAGCATCAGTTATTTTTATCTAATCAGATATCCCAGTGGTTTTACAAAAAGGGACATTTTAGCCACTTTTTACCATGTAAACAGCTTCTTAAACAGCCTCTGTTTGGAGAAATAGCTTTTAGAAGAAGAAGAAGAAGAAATGATCTTTTCTATAGCGCCTCTCAAGATAAAAATCACGAGGTGCTTCACAAAACAAAAATGCAAAAATATAAAAAAGAATTGTTTTTATTTCTTTATGTTTATTTCTTTATGTTCATTTCTGTTGTGCAGTGCTTTGTTTGGTCCTTGGGCCATGTGAAGGCGTTATATAAATAAAGTTTAGAAGTAGTAGCAGAGTGTCAAGCGGGGAGGCATTGGGTCCCATTTGTTTAAAGACTTTGGTATGACCCGAATGTGGATTTGAACCCACGATCTCCCAGTCTCAGGGTGGATACTCCATTATTATAGACAAGTAAATCAGTTTAAAGTGTTTTCACATCCCGTTTATTGATATTTTCACTTTCAAAAGCAGACGAACTGTAACTCTTTTAACTGCAGAACTGAGAAACCGCAACAGGAAACCAATTTTACCAGATAGACCCAGCCACTTCCTGTATTTGGGAAGTAATCATCACCACACACAAAAATGCAAACCTGAACCAACAAAAGTATCACGTGTGTCGAGTTCTGATCCACACAAAGAGATCGCTGGATGTGATTTGCATTTTACAGTCACATTTGAGAATCACATGCTGCCTTCATGTCCTCATCATCCCAAATGCTTATCGGTGTTTTTGTCTCCCACTCTGAACACAACAAGCCTCTGCTATCTGCAGTTTTCTAAATAAGAGCTGATAACGTTTTATAAGGATTACATCACTTACTGTAACTGTTTCAAGTTTTACACAAGTTAGAAAGAAATGAATACAAATAATGACTGAAGACACAACAGATGCGAGCAAACATCTGAGTCATTTAGGAGGGAGTGTTGCTTAAGAAAATAACGTGACTTTAGTTTAAGAGGATCTACGTTCAAAAATGAAAATAGGAAGTTTGGAAGAAGAACAACAAGAACTGAAAATCTACAAAGAGCAAAAATATTTATTTTAAGAGCTGATAAACGTGAGCTCGCTAGCATAATCTCTCCATAACTGAGGCAAGCGTCTCTTGAAAAATACACGTTTGTATAACTTTAAAGGTAAATTATCACATTATCATAAAAAAACACATTCATGTTTTTTTTTAATCCAAAAAGAGTTTTAAAAAACTCTAGATTAATAAAGCTTTAAAACTGTTTTAGTTGCTATTTGTATTATATTTTAAAAAAGAAAAATGATATATTGAGGTAAAAGGGGTAATTGTAGGATGAGAAGATCGTGCAGATGAAGAACTTTTAGATTTTATTCCCAATTAGACAGAAAACTGATTTCATCTGTTTTGTTAAAAGAAAAAACCTCATCCTCTTTATCCAAGCGCTCCATGATGAATGAGAGAACGTGTCAGAAAAATGAAGTTCTAAAGAAGTGATTTTTTTATAATGATAATAAAGATTTCAAAGGGTGCTCAGACTGTACAGCTTTGGATTCAGAGACAGATTTTTCCTCATGAAACAATCCAAACTGGCCTGAGGGATCAAAGAAAATCCACAGGAGGCATCAGAGAATTGTGAAATAAAGGGATGCAGGGGTCAAATATGCCAGAAAAAAGGCAGTTGGCGCATGAAAAATAGATGTTCTGATTTGTTTTTAGTTGTTTTCTAAGAAATTTGGACACAAATCATTTTCAGGTAAATTTATCTATAAATATTTTACGTTTTTCAGACACTTCTATCCAAAGGGAGTTACTTCAACATGCATGCTTATGGTTTGGGGGAGAAAAGTAGTGTAAAACTCATGCATGGATGGGGAGAACATGACAACTCCAAGCATAAAGGCAGCAACTAGGTTTTGAACTAGCAACCTTTTTGCTGTGAGCCAACAGTGCCTCCAACTGCATCAGGATGCATTGATAATAAACAAAGTGCAGCTGAATAAATTCAGCATCCCTAATTGGCAAAGACTTCTTTGATTTGCTGGACGTTTAAATTATGTATACTTTTCTAAAGATCTTTTGTGTTTTTGTGCTAAAATAACCCTTTTTGTTGAATTTAGACAGAATCCTCATGTGCAAAGTAAGAAAAGAAGCAAGTCCCTGAAAGTTTTCACTCAGGAAAGTTGGATCCTTTTAAAGTATCTGAGACAGGTAGCTGAAAAATGCACCCCTCTCTGCCCGGTGGCGTGACTCAGGTTGTTATCTATCAACACACCGTTCTGTTTTTCCTGCTCCATTCTTGCCATCTGTGGCTCGTATTCCAAGAGAAACACAAATCTCTCCCTTGCTGCTCAACAGGAAACATCTGCTGCACTTTGGCCATGCAGGATATGAGCAGAACCCTTCCAAGTCAAAAGGTGTGAAAAAACAAAGCTACAAACTTAAGACTCAAAGTTAATACATTCATCCCTCTCTTTTCCAGTGGCCCATGTTAAAAGGAGGTATTTTTTATACAGGATAAGCACTGATGTGATGATTTTTTTCTCCAAGTTTCACATACATGCTTCAAGTGAAAATTGTCTTAAACTGTCAAGAGTGCATTAGCTGTAGAAATGAAAGAGACAGGAAAACAGTCATGCCAGAAAAAGCCAGACTCTTCTAGATCACAGAGAATATTTGCCTTCATGGCCCCACCCACCTTGGCTTTGGACTGCTCATGGGTAGGTGAAGCAGAATACATCTAAGCTAGTAGAAGCTAACCATTAGCAACTCTGCAACATGGTAGAACACATTCAGGCTTGTGTTATTTGTGGAGGTAAAACAACATAGCATTATTTTACTCAAAGAAGAGTGAACAAAGGCAGCGGATGAGTTGAATCACTGTTAAGGAATGAGAGGTGAAACATCTGCACATCATGAATATTCATTTGTAAGCCTCGTTAAGTTGCTATCGTCTGCTCCCAACTCCTTCAACAAACTCCTACCCCAGGGCTATTCAATTCCTGGCATCGAGGGCCGGTATCCAGCTCATTTTCATGGTTTCTCTAGTCTAAAATACTAGAATCAGTGGTTGAATCACCCGTGCAGCAATACATCAGGCTCAACAGAAGCCTGATAATCGTGCTGATAGAAATCAGGTGTGTTGAAGCAGGATTAAAACCCAAATGTGCTGGATACCAGCCCTTGAGGCTCTACCCTCTATAAGAGAAGCGCCAGAGCTTTTTTCCCCACAAAAAAGGACTCACAAGGCATTCTAATCATCTAGAATATAAAGTATCAATTCAATTCAACATGTCACTGCTTTCATCACCTTCACATTTCACACAG